AAGCCACTGTACAGATGTGAGTGTCACCTTTTATCTAGAGAGCAACGCAGTCAATACTGTCGGATCTAAGGTGCCTCAAAGAGTTAATTTATTACTTAAAGTATTATAATACCACAATAAGAGAAATGAATGTAATTAATACTAATAAATGCGTAATTTGTCAAATCTGAGAGCATCGACAAGAATGGGATCCTAATGGCCTTCAAATGTCAAAATTGGTGGGTAAACATCAGCCCTTGACTTATCTGAGCATTTTATTGGTAGTTCAATCGAATTAGATTTTTACGTGCCAAAATTTAGTTCAGTAAACAAAGACACGTAAAAATTAGGAAAAATTCCGTAAAATTCAATGAACTACTTACCAAAGCTGAAACAGCTTTTTCCATTAAAAAAAAAACATTTTAGAAAAAAACGTTTTAGACAACAGTTTAATTTTTTATAACAAAAATTTGAGCCCAGCCCGATGTCAAATTATAAACAAATTTATTAATTATTGCAAAAAAATGGCTAAAAATCGCATTTATGTTTAAAACGAAAAAAATTTTTTTTATGAAACTCAGAATATGTTGTCCTTGGCAAGAAGAATAAGTGCGTTTTCATAAAATTGCAAAATATTTTATAGTTTTTGCAAAAATTTAGTTTTTTGAAGACATTTTTTTCAAATTGCAATAAATCATACATTAAAGCACTTACGTGATCCATTTTGGGCTTAAAATTTTCTCTAAGAGTTCAGGGTTCATAGTTCAAAAGTAATATAGAATTTCCTGACTTTTTCAGACTTATAAAAAAAAATCCAGGTCATTTGTTCATTTTTACTGACTAATTGGTGTTTATGCATTAGACTTTTTCTATACTCGATTCCATAATCTTTTTTTTTTTACCCAAAGAACCTCTTATAAAGGTTTCAAGACCATAAATAGTTTTCTCTTTTGAAGAACCCGGCTTTCACAAAATTTCCAGTTGCAAGCATCAAATTCCCTGACTTTCATGACATTTTTAAAATTCCCTGATTATTCTCGGTATTCCCGGTTTTCCAGGCTACTACGAAGCCTGGAATAGTACTGTCCTGTGTAAATTGTGCGCGTATTGCAAAATAATTGCAAATATGCAATCTACCGAAACTTTGGCTTCTTTTTTTGGGTCGTAAAATATAGATCTCTTTTTTATCATTGAAATTTAATCAGAATGGCATTATTGCCATTTGAAAGCTGATATTTTTTCACAAATTAAAAAAAATGTTCCGTGACCAACAGGTGGTGAGAAATTTTTTTTCAAAAAATTGCTACGACCTCATTTATTAATATTAAGGTCTGAAATTTACACAGGTTATAGTTGAATACTTTTTCTTCCAGACCGCTACGAACCCTGGAGTTGTACTTTCCGGTATAAATAGTGCGCGTATAGCAAAATAACTGGAAATGTGCAAAAAATCTACTAAAACCTTGACTTCTTTTTCGGGTAGAAAAATGTAAATCTTTTTTTATAGTGAAATTTAATCGGAATGNCCGGTATAAATAGTGCGCGTATAGCAAAATAACTGGAAATGTGCAAAAAATCTACTAAAACCTTGACTTCTTTTTCGGGTAGAAAAATGTAAATCTTTTTTTATAGTGAAATTTAATCGGAATGGTATTATTGCCATTTGAAAGCTGACATTTTTTCACGAAATAAAAAATAGTCTGCAATGATTGACCCCCCTTTTTACAGTAAACTTAATTTTGTTGGACCCCGTAAAATGCTTGCTCCGCTCAACACGTTGATACGTATGGTGGAGGGAGAATGACTGTGATGCGACTGTTGTATTTGTCAATTCTGTAGTGTAAGAGTAGCTTTAGTGTTTTAAACTTAAAGTGTTAATTGCTGAATTGACAATATTTTAATGTAGGACACGGTTCAACTGTGAAAGGTAAAAGAGAGAATAAATTATACTAAGTCCAAGAAGGTTGTCTTATTAATTTTCTCCACATTCATTCAAGTAAAATAAAATTAAATGAAATAACTGGCAACTCGAATATTACAATTCTACGTAATGAACTCAGTTAGCCAGCAACCATTTTGAAAATGAAGTCCAAACATTCAGCTGGGGTAAAGTAGTTCATTCCATTATACGGAATTTTTCCTTACTGTTACGTGTCTTCGTTTACTGAATTAAATTTTGGCAAAAAAACGAGGTATTTTCGACAATTTGACTGGCCTATGGTGCCACTGTTTCATGTTGAGTGTCAAAATTGAAGTTTTCTTTTACAATTTTTTAAAAGTTTTGTGGTGATCTTTTTGAATTGTCATGTACTTGTGACTTTTATTAAACATCCGATGTACACGATGAACAAAAAAAATTGGATTTGACGTACTATATCTCCTTTAATTGGGTAATTATAATAAATAATAAACAATCTCTTGTGCTAAAATGATCAATCAAGGGTTTACTTAGTTAATAGCATACCTTTTGTGAAGGTGTGGGGCAACCGTGAAACTATATTGCTCGATATTTCTCGGGATTTCATACAATTTATCACCTTCGGGCACTGCAAAGCAAATAACCTGCATCTGCATGGTCATGTGATTGGAAACCACATGGGTGGACGACACCCTCAACAATCTTATTTCATTAGCGACGGAACTGCTCAAAGCCACTGTACAGATGTGAGTGTCACCTTTTATGGTCGTTTTTATAGACCCTTCCAATGGTATAGTTCCTGTGAACTTTGGCATATAAAAAGTCTGACTCCAATCGGATTTGGCCAATTGTAGTGGCCCAGAAAAGTACCAGGAACCACCGATGTATACGGCGAGATTGAAGTTTTCCTACAAAAAAATAAAATAACAATTATAGTCTTAAATTTTATTTAGAGAACAATTTTTCTACCTCTAGTTTTGGAGGTGCTACAATGCCATGATGCTGTAAACGACACAACTCGGTACTGCTAAACATTATAGCAATCGGAGTACCTAAAGTATTAACCATGAGGCACCACGGAATTAATTCCACCAGTAAAGAACATGAGTGTAAGCATGCGTTTTGGTAACGAACCTAAAAACACATAAATTATGATTGTATTATAATAAATAACCGCCATACCCTACTTGAACATGAGTCAACGGTTGATCTTCAACAACCCAATCGATATTATCCAACTCGTCCCCAAAATATGGCCACTTTGATTCACTAAATTTACTCAGAACACTCAATATCTCATCTATGTCTTGCTTTTCTGATTTCTTAAAGAATTTCTGATGGTTTACGAGGCTGTAATTGAGCGGAACATAGGGATTTGCCAAGGAATTCGATTTGCTGTAAAAAATTAGCAGTTAATAATGCCAACTACTTTCACAACAAAACCCTTACTCTAGTTTAAAAGTTAACTGGTGGGAATGGTCAATAGTACCAGGACAATAGAGCTGCTGTAGCTCTCCTTTGCCTTTCACTATGGCATCGAGTCTTACGTTAAGAGTAGGAGTTTCGATGTGCACCTGAGCATTCATCGGAAGATTTGATTTTACTGTGAACAGTGGCCAGAGCACGGCAAGTGTCCGTTTCACCCTCTGAATTTCCTGGATCACTATGCGGCACCATATGCTGAGAAATTGGCCCCTCTCTTGAAGAGGAACTGAGAAGGAATATATTTTAATAGACAGAGAGGGAAATTACAATGAAAAATAATTTTGTAAAAAACAGATTGTTTTTGTAAGACTGCGATATATTATTTTAGTCACTTTATTTTTTTTATGTCAATATGGACGTATTGCTGAATAAAATATGTAGTGTTTTTAAAAAGTTAATATTTCTTGGATGATTTACCAAATTGTAACAAATATTGGTATGTGGATAGACGTACGTTACTAGATATAAATTAAACTAATATTTTACGTTTTAATATAATTATTTTTGCTAATTTATGATATACAGGGTCAGAAAGTCCCCATGGTTCATCGGCCGTTACGTGAGAGCGATAAAGTCATAGAAATCCGTGCGATAGAGAAAGATGGCTATAATGAAGGCGTCAAATAAGACCCACTTCTTATTTGTGGATGGGCGAAATGGGCGATGACTATTAGACGCCTTCATTATATCCATCTTTCTCTATCGCACGGATTTCTATGACTTTCTTCATCGCTCTCACGTAACGTCCGATGAACCATGGAGACTTTCCGACCCTGTATAATAAAAAATAAATAAAAATATGTAGTTACTAATCTGATATATGAAATATATTTTAAAATTATCAAAAGTTTTTAATAAAAAGTATTATAATTTTTTAAAGCACTGTGTTTAGTTTGTGAATCTTGATGTCAGTGACCTCGGACACTGTGTGTGTGGTGTGTTTGTGTGTGTTCATTGTTAAATCTATGTGTTATAATACGAAAAAATTTACGTTACACTAGCCCATCCAGTGAGNAAGCGCAGTTAAAATTTCACTGCTAAATTATATTATGATTTAAATCATTCATTCCTAAAGTATTCCTAAAATATTTACCTCTTAACAATTTATGGTACTAACTACTAAGAATTGATGGTAAGACATAACTTCTAGTGTTACTAAATATGCTAACTCACTATATTCGTTGTATTACTGACATTGTACTGTATTATTTAGTACCGGTTAATTAACAGTAGAAGGTATGAGAAAACTACGTTACAGGTTGATCTAATGAATACTTTCTAGCATCCGTTATTTGTGAACCTATACTAAAATACATAAAATTATTCGTTCTAATAAATATTATTATTTAAAATGTAAACTTACCCAGATTTTGCAGCCTGTGTTGACGTGATGGAATTAATTCTTATTTTATTAGCGATATCCTTGAGTTCTTGAACAACTTTCGCTTCTAATTTATGATAACTGGACATAGTGGGAAGTTAAATATCAGTATTAAATATACGGAATTTAAAAAACTACGATTTATAATAAAACTAAGAGCACTACTAAACGTCGATATTTAGGTAGATCTATATGTAGCATGAAACCCAATGAACCAATGAAATGAATTGCAGCAAGCAACAAGTTGTCCTCGTCCCTCGCCACTTTCGTGTCTGGCTGACGCACTTGCGCAACGTGGTAGCTGAAGCCGGTATCGCTGACGGGATAATCAATAAACTTACATTTACATGATTTTTTCAGTACTCTGAAACTCTGACAAATTCAATAATTTGAGTACGATAAGTCTACAGAGCAGGCATTCCACTCTACTACTAGTATTTACCTGTTATTTTAATTTAAATTAAGACCGGCTTCATCTTCATTTAGGTATCTTCAATTTGATAGGGATATATTTTTTATGATAAGTGAAGAAGAATGTACTAATATATTGTAACGTTCTAATTATGGTTCAGTGTTCCAGTGGCGGAACTACCGTAGAGCAAGGAGCTAGGGAGAGCACTCAATAGTTTAATATTTTAATGCTGTATTAGGCCGGTGTCCCATGCATCCGAAATCCGATGTACGATATCCGAAAATATTTTAATTCGTACGAATGATAATATTATAATTCACATGCATCCGAAATTAATCTCATAGAAATCAAGTATAGAACCATGGAATTTATTACAAGATGAAGGTGAAACATTTTCAAATGACAACCATAGGTATATATCGTAGAAAATATACGTAGTATTATATTTTCTACATTCGACATTATAATATAACATTTATTTGACTGTAAATATATCAAACAACAATCATAGTATGTTAAAAACTTAAAAAGTGAGGTTAAAAAACATACGATTTCGGATAAAAGTTAAAATTATTTCTACTTTTTCCGACGTCGTATGAATTTTAAAAATTTCGGATAAAAATGAGCGGTAAAAATTTGAATGTATATTAACCAATAGGAACACTTTTGGACCTTCGTATCGTCGGAATTCGGATGCATGGAACACCGGCCTTAGGCAGCAGGATTTTGGGGAAAGAAATAGGCTGTTTTTATTTTCTGTGAAAATATTTAAAAAAAAAAAAAAGGAAAAACTATGATCTGTTCAGAGTTTTACGATTTTGTGCTTTTGCCAGTTTTGTAAATTTGAATAAAAAATGTATTTTTTGCTCCTTGTTGTATTAGTAAAATGAAAATAGTATAATAATACGAGGGGGGACTCAAAAATAACCGGAATTTCTTTGTAGAAAGCGACGATCCCTTTGATCTCTGGTGAGAAGTCTTGGTACAAACTTTGCTGCCAATCTTCGCATCCCCAAATCAACATTCAAAATTCGCTGAATTGAGCTTCAGCGAATGCGGAAATGGCGGAATGACTCAGGAGAAGCCCTACAACTGCCCTCTGGTGGCGCAACTTGATACTATAAGTACACGAAGCGCAGCATTACGATTCCGGTAATTTTTGGGTTCCCTCTCGTATATCATCAATGAGTAGATAATGCGAAAATTGTTAGTTTGCTAAAAAAAATTATGACTGCCGGATTTTGTCCGAATTTTCTTAAAGGCTTGCCCTGGGTGGACAAACTTTCATCTGGTAACCCTAATAGTACGTAAATGCACATAATTCAGACCTTGTCTAACAAATTGTGCCATCTATTATATTTTCTTAAAAACACCATCTACACTAAATTACTTCTAAAATTACCTTTTACCAGCCACGGTTGGGACCCTGTTGCATGTTCCCGCAACGGTATATCTCCAGTCCAAGCCGATTCCAAACCATAAAACCTTAACCTCACGATATAAGTTTTCTTGTTGTTAGTGAAGATTGAAAGCGTGGATGACTTCCCAGGAATGATGTATGTCGGACTATTTTTAAACTCTGCTTCTCTGTTACCATTGACAGCTTCCATAACCTTCAATTCGAAGTGCTCCACCAACATATTGGTGACGGTAAGTTG